TCCCAACTGCCCAGACCCAAATAATCACACAGAGACAACATTAATTACAGCACTGCTTGACCAATAACTCAAGCATGTTCCTAAATTAACCTATTTCTATTCATCTGTGTATTGCCACTAGTCTGTGGCTTACTGGTGTTGACATGTTACTCCTTTGGTGGCAATATGGCACCTCTTGACTCTGCCTACTCTCTATATATCTCATCCAGCCTGGCTACATTCTGCCCTGCCATAGGCCAAAACAACTTTATTCATTAACCAGTAAGAGCAACACATACAGAAGGACTTCCCACATCATCTCCTCTTTTCTGTCTAAATAAAAAGGAAGGTTTTAACTTTAACATAGTAAAATTACATATACAAAACAGGTATCAAGCAAGAATTACAGTTACAATATTTAGTCTATTTGTATCTGGCAAAATTAAAATATTCTATCATCTATTTTATCATTGTGTTTCTAAAGCTTCATTTCTATCTTTTATCATAAATAAGGGAAACTATAACTATTTGTCTTCAGCTCCATCACAGACCTAAGAAGGATATAATATTACCTAAGTAAACAAGAAGTGCATTGTAAGCAGCTTCCAAAACTCTAGAAATGACAGACATTTCGCTGCCTGGACAGTCACCCAAAGTTCTTCTGTGTTGTTGGGGCATCCATCTTCAGCCTACAGGCCCATAGTATTCAGCAGACTTTTCCATGAAGCAGGAAATTTGGAAAAACGGTTTTGCCTTTATTGGCAGTTTGTCAGTCACTTTCTTCTGTGTCCTGCAGAATGTCTGGTAGACTCTTTGATGAAGCAGGAACCCTGAAGGACTGTCTCACCTCTTTTGGCAAGTTCAGCAGTCATTTTTCTGTGGGTCCTGCATGTGCAGTTCATACAGCATTCCATTAAACAGTCCAGGCAAGAGCAGTTTTTTGCTTAAATGGCTAACAAACTCCAAGGAGCCTTTTCAATGCCCATTATCCTTTTGAAGTAATTGCTGCCAGAAGCAAACGTGTCTCACTATTAAGAAAAGTCTAAATTCTTAAAACTTTTCAAATACCTTATTCTGTAGGTCTTTGAAGTGTTGGAATTTATCTGTCTACCTGAACTATATCTCTGTATATATATAAAACCTAACTGATGTAATTAAAAGTTTGATTATTATCAATGACTATTAATCTGTAGTTTTAATTATACAGTTTTTAAATGAGCTGCACAAACATAATACCTTAAATAAGTAGAAATACATATATACAGTGTAACAAAATTAACCTTAAATTTGTATCAATAGACCAAAGTCCATGCCAATGGAAAGTATTTGTCTCTATATCCTATACTCCCTTTTTAGAAATTGACTTTGACTATTAATCCTTTTTAACCAACCCTTTTAAAATATAAATAAATATTTATAAACAATCATTTTGGGAATTTGGGTGTAGTTTTCTCCCCACTTTTCTGCTGTTTGTTGGGCACAGTATTTTTAGTGTTCACAGAGACCTTTGGGAGGGCCTTGTTCCATCAAACCACATTAGCCTGGAAGGAATCCACAGGTTCTCGTCTTCTGTGGAAACAAAAGCAGAACCTCTTTTCCAAAGAAACATATCCTTAGACTCAAATTTTGAAGTCAATAAACCATATATATATGTTGGTTTAGCTTAGCAGTCTGTACAATGAAATGTCTCTCTGTAGTTAGCTCATTCACAGTCAAAACTTTTAAAGAAAACACATTGGTATATATAGTCCAGACTCTGTATATTTTCCATCTTTATGTGGCTTTTTCACTGTTACTTTTTAATATTTATTTTATTATCTTTACTCCTTTAATCTATGACTCTTTGCTCCTCTCTCTCTCCCAAGCCCATGTGCATTTATCCGACACTGTGACCCATTTAGAGATCTTTTTCATCTGAATCTGTCTTTGTTGCATATCTGTAATAATTTTCTAAGCCGGAACACTTCTTAAAATGCTAAGCAGTGTGACTAGGAATAAGGCTTTTTTTTTTTTTTTTTTTTTTTTGGCTTTGTCCAGGCCAACATGCGGGTCTATGTTGCCATTAAGCAACTTGTAGCACACTGCGTACAAGCCCCATTTAAGTACAAGAGCTCACAGAAGAGCCAGAGTTTGTGCTGCAGCCGGAACCAGGAAGCCTTCTCTTAAAGAAGCTGTGCAGTTCCTGCTGCTCATGCTGAGTCAGGAAGCCTTCTCTTAAAGGTATCACGCCTCTGCTTGCCGCCAGCAGTCAGAGCCTATGAAGAAAAATGCAGTACCGAGAAGATGCACTTGGCTCTGTTTTTGTGAGTCCAGAAGCCCCCCCTCCCCCTTAAGCTTTTTTAGGTCTTATGTGGATGTACATTGCTGAACGTTTGGGTGCCATTTTGTAAGCGGAGACTGCTCATTTGTTTCCTGGCCATCCAGACCCGAATACACAGAGACAATATTAAATACAACACTGCTTGGCCAATAAGTTAAGCATATTCCTAGCTAGCTCTTAAATTAACCCATTTCTATTAATCTGTGTATTGCCAGTAGGTTGTGGCTTACTGGTGTCAGCATGTTACTCCTTTGGTAGCTACATGGCATCTCCCTGACTCTGCCTACTCTCTCATTATATCTCTTCAAGCTTGACTATATTCTGCCACGCCATATGCCAAAGAAGCTTTACTTGTTAACCAATAAGAGCAACACATATTCAGAAGGACTTCCTACATTGCAGCAGGACAGGAAAGCTCCATTGTTTTGCAGCAAAGAGTGTAACTAAGAAATTAACATTTCAAAATAGCTAGGGGGGTGGGTTTCATGTTCCCAACACAAAGAAATGGCAGGTGTCTAGGCATGGATAAGACAGTCTGATCTGAGAGCTGCACGTTGTATGCACCTATTGAAATATGTTGATCCATACATACGTACTATTATGTGTCCATTGGTTTTGAATTGTTTCTGTAACAACTTTCCATTGATTATTCTAAAACAAATCAGTGAATAAAGCATGATGATAAAGTAAACAAATGTAGATCCTCTCATTTGTTAGCATATGTCTGATGTTTTTCCTACTTTTCCTGTGTGTGCACATAGAACATGCATGTGTGTTTTTATGAAATGTATATTTATTATTAACACATTTTATTGGCTGGTGAGGTGGCCAGTGAAAAGAAAGAACCAGCTCTCAAAGTTTTTCTTCTGACCCCTGGGTGGGTACTGTGACTTGCAATGCCCGTGCGTGCGCACACAATACTGAATGAGTGAACAAATGGGGGAAACATACCAGCAAGTAAAGATCAGTAGCGTGGTTTTAATGCTTCATAAAAAGCACCTTGTTCAAAGTCAGTGAAAATAATTCATTGAGCCCATCTGCTATTTATAGGCACCAATTTCACTTAGTGACCTATGTCCTAAACTTTGTCATAATTGTCTTTAGACAATTATGTTAGATTCTCATATGTGTATATGGTAGGTTGTTTAGAGTAAGCTATTTAGTGATCTTAACCGTACACATTTTATGCTAATAAGCATTGCTGGATTGCTTTACAGAAGGCTTATATTTTACCAGTGCTGTAGGTAAGTTGTGAAGAAACTGGAGCCATAGACAGACTACTGCCATGAGTAGAAAGCAGCCTACCTGAAACCCGTCTCCACACTGATATGTGACTGAGGCCCCGCTGGCTCCCTCCACCTTTCTCAGTGTAGAACCCAGGTTGGCTACATAGAAGCGATCAGGTTGGGGCCCCGTCTGGTCTCTGTTGTAACTACAAATCTGCTTTAAGGAGAACCAGTCATAAATACTTCAAATGCATGAGTTGGCTGTGTTCCCATAAAACTTAATTTCAAAAACAAAGTTTGAGGGCTCTGCTCTGTCTCTGGGACTCTGCTTGATTTCCAGGTAAGGTATATGAAAAAGGTATATTGAACAACCTTAATAACCGTAAACCTTTTATTGTTCTTTACTCTTTTTTTTTTTTTAAGAAATTGCATCTGAGAGGGGGGGGGGGGGGGGAGGCTCATTTTCCACCGTGTGCAAACGTTTGGTGGTCAGAGAGTAACTTGCGTGATTGTTCTTTCCACCCAGTACCATGCGGGTGCTGGAGATTGACCTCAGGCTGGGTAGTGAGTGCCTTCAGCCACTGAGCCGTCTCCCCAGCCCCCCTTAGACATCCCAGTGAAATGAGTGTCCATTGCTGAGGGCCCGGCCTTGACTTTGACACAAACTGAAAGAATGTGTTCTGTTTTCTTAAGCTGCCTTCGTGGTGGCAACAGACGCGATAAAACCCCTTTTTAAAAGAATATCTCTTTGTGTTTGTATGGGGTGTCCATATGGGGTAGGGTATACACTTGGTGTGTACACATGTGCGTGTGTGTGTGTCTTCACCTGTGTGTGTATGCATGTGGGGGGTGAGCTCACCTACCATGTTCATTTTTGAGGTGTGCTTTCTTAGGAAGCCTGTGCTCACAGTTTGATTTGCCTGGGTAGCCAGTGAGCCCTGGGTTCTCCACCCTCTTACACATTTGCACATGTAGGTGCACACATGTGCACACGTCTGTGTCTATGGCACTGTCCTTTTCTCCCTCTGGTCCCCTTCCATGTGTCTGTGTTAAACTCATTAGACTGTGTGCTCCATGTTGCCCTTTTGGTTGTGATCCCCCAGTTTTCCTGTGAGATCCAACCCCTTTCTCACTTGGCCGCGGTTGGTACACAACTCGGGTGCCCTGACAACAGGCCGATCTCCTGGAATTTCTGTGATTGCCCCCCCCACCCCCCATTCTGGCTGAGGCTCTTGAGAGTTCCCGTCTCCCAGACCCATGGAGCTTTGCCGCACTGAGCTCTGTTCTTGCGAGCCATCGTGTATCATAAAAGCCTTTGCTTCATTTTCTTTATTTAAGTTAGTGAAAACCAGTTTCAGGTGCTTTGACCCAGAGAAGTCTGCAGTATGGCCTTAACTAATCACTCTCATTTTCATATTGATTGTGACTTTTTCTTTCTTCTCTTTAAAAAAACAAAACCAAACAAACAAACCTAGCCAGAGACAGCTGCTGCTTTGAAACGTACACTAGAATCCCTGATGGACCGAGGAGCCATCGTGAGGAACCTGGAAAGCCTTGGTGAGCGCGCACTTCCTTACCGGATCTCCAGCCACGGCCAGCAGCACAGCAGAGGCGGGTAAGTTTCTCTGTGAAATGGCTTCACGGGCTTAGGAGAGAATCCTGAGTCATCTTAGAAACTGTCACAAGGCCACCATCAGTCCCTGTTGTGCAGCTGCCCCTCAGGCATCAGTAGGAAAGCAGTGCTGTACTGTAGATGCTGTCTTAGTTAGGGTTTATTGCTCTTGTGAAGGAGAACATTTAACTGGGGCTGGCTGAGGCCCATTGTGGTGGTGGGAGTGCTCTGCTGGAGAGGGAGTTAAGAGTTCTCCATTGGATCAGCGGCTCAGCAGTGTGTAAGCCACTGGGCCTGGCTTAAGCTTCTGAGGCCTCAAAGCCAACCTCCTCCAACAAAGCCACACCTACGCCAACAAGGCCATACCTCCTAATATTGCCCATTCAAACCACCACGGATACAGATGTTAAACTGGCTTTAGTAGGCAGGTCCGAACAGAAGCTCTGAGTAGAGCAAGGGACTTGTAGGCTCCCACTCGGGGATTGTTTTCAAACTCAGACTTCTTTTTCTTGACGTTTAACCCTTGCCTTCAGAAAGCCTCGGCTTGCAGATACACACAGCAAAGTAGGCTTCCTTGGCTTCCAGCCAGGGCCCGCTGCACCAGCGTGGAAAGATCCGACTTACTCTAGACAACGTGCGGTTTTCTACCTGCGTGTGTTCTGTCCGGGGTGCTGCTACTCTCTGGCTCTCAGAACTTTGTGCCTTCTGCAAGCTTCTCTGGTCATCTGGGGCACTGACTTCAAGTCTCACACTCGGTTGTCTTGGAATGGAGAGAGAACATGCAGCTGCATGCTGGTCGGTGAACTGCTTTATTCCTGGTTTCAGGGTGTGGGCGACGGCCCCAGGTTGCACAGCATTCAATCAGCTTCTGGGATGAGGCCTGCGCTGTAGACGTCATCTTTGCCTCACCTTGTTTCCTGAGTGTTGCTAGGAAACAGGCAGCGCACAGTGGCTGGGCCTCTTCCACAGCTGTAATGACAATGAGGGATGGAGCGTGTGTGCATGACAGCGTGTGTGTGCCCGTGTGTGGAAGGGCGTGTGTGCCTGTGCGTGGCAGGATACACATCCTTTCTTCACTTTTTTTTAAAACTTAGTCACAAATTGGTGTGGCTTTACCACAGGACTGTGGGTATCTTTGCTTTCTGTTTAAAAGGAATGCATGTGGTCTGTCCAGGGACGATTAGCTATTCTCGTGTAGAAGCCAAGACTAGGTGTGTGACGTCAGTGCAGTGTGGGGAACCTGGCATAGTCTGTCTTTCCAGACACAAATGGTGGGGAGTCCTTCAGTGGTCATGGTGCTGGTCAGTGTCATGTGAACATGGTCTGTGTGTGTGTGCGCGCACACAGGGCAGGCCTATGCATGCCACAGTGCGTGAGTGGAAGTCAGAAGACAGCTCTTGAAAGTTGCTTCTCTTGCCAGCTTGTGGGATTTAGGGGATGAATACAAGTGGTCAAGATTACATACAAGCTCTTCCACCTCCTGAGCCATCTTGCTGGCCCACAGTGGCTTTAGTTTTATATACTCTGACTGTTCTCCATGGTGACATTTGGTAAATGAGTGTTTGAGGGCTTAGAACTGCCTGAGTAAAGGTTTCTAATGCTGTCTTAGCAGGCTGAGGTCAGCTGGACACTTCATCCAGCCTTCCTAGGCATTAAGCCTAGCCCCCCTTGTAGTAGGCATTTTCTTCACTTGACACATTGCTTGTGTGCATTGTGCATAATCAAGAAAGTGTTGCACACATGACATGTCCCAGAAAGTGCATGTTTGTAAATGGTTAAGAAACAGCATAGGGTTGTTGATTATACATTTAGCATTTAAAGGTTTGGTTCATCAGTACTCTGAAGGTTGTGACCTGTACTTGCGGTTTGGTCAAGGCACTGATTGACGTTTTCATGCTGTGTGCATGAATCCGTATGTGTTTAGCTGGCTGATTAAATGGGCCTGCATGTCCTTGAGGAACCCACGTTTCATGTGGTGTTGTGACCATCCGTTCTAGGGGATAACAGCGTGTTTCAGTGGCATCCACAGTTCTCAGGATGATTCTTGGGCTTGTTGTGGTTACTGGTGTTCGCGAGTTTTCAGTCTATTGGAAGTCTCCATATGTGTGCTGACCTAGGTAGAAGCAGCGAGGGAGGACGAGTAGAGGTGCCCATACGGCAGTAGTGCCCCACAGGGCGGGCTGACAGAGTCTTTGCCACACAGATGCGATGAAGCTCCAGCCCAAGATGGACGTACACTAGAATCTTCCCGGTAAGCCACCACCTTGTGGTGCTACACAGATTACTAGATATGGGTTAAAGCAAGATATGAGAGTTAGCCAGACTAGAGCTAATGGGCCAAGCAGTGTTTAAATGAATACAATTTTTGTGTTGTTATTTCGGGGCATAAACTAGCCAGGCGGCCAGGATCTGGGTAGCAGGAATACAGCCCGCAGCTCCTTTCTACACCTGAGGGCAGTCATGTCTGGAGTCATTTGGCCGCCAGGTCATGGTCTTGGCAACAGAGCAGAGTTGAGAAGGTCCCGCTGCTGCTTGGGCCCAGTGGGGGAGGCTGGGAACTTGGGGCTCCTGGGTCAGCTTTGCAGATGGAAGCCCTGGCTTCAGTTCCCACCTGTTGTCACTGGGGAGTGCCTGAAAACCATTAGTGTACAGCCTGGGACTGCTGGGCTTGAACAGTTGTTGCTTTCTCTTGCAGCCCTCTGGATGACCTCTCCTTGTGCTCACCTTGAGGCCTGTCTGTCTGGTAGAGAAGGTCCCTTCAGAGGAACCCTTGCTGCCTTACCCTGCAGAGGGAGCTGCGGGAGCAGATGCTCTATCCACCCTTTCTCGTGTGGCTGCTCATGTCCTGCTGCAGGCACAGCAGCCAGTCCTACTCCGGGCTGCACACCCTCTGAAGCTCTTTCCACTAGATGGGGCTGGATGGAGTGTGGTTTCTAGAGCAGGAAGACCTCTGGTGCTGAGCTATGTGTCTCTCGGGTGGCCTGTGACTGACCAAGTCTATAATGTAACAGCTGGGGGGGGGGGGGCTGGGCTGGCCTCATGTCCATAAGACTCTTTAGGTGTGGAAGGAGTTTGGTCAGTGCTCGTGGCAAAGCTCTTAGCTGTGCACAGAGTACTCTTCTATTTACAGCTGAGCAGAATGATCAGCATAGCCGGCCCTGTGGTGAATCAGTGGAATTTTACTGACTTGTTTCCCAAATGTGTCTGCAGCTTGCTTACTCTGACAGCCCTGGCACCCTCTCTAGAGGAGGCTGAGTCTCCTCTGTAGTTTTCCTGTTAGCTAACATCTCTGTTCATGTTTTCCTGTCAGCATCAAGTCATGCAGTGTCCTGGCCCCACTTCTGTGTGTAGGGACTCTGCAGCTTGTTTGGCTCGGGAGTGCTCTGTCCTTGAAGGTTTCTTTTAAGTGGCATTTCCCCAAGATTTGTGGAAGTATTGCTTCTTAAAATGCACAAGACCCAACAGATAGGAAAGGAAATGGGGTTTGTCTGTAGAAAGTGAATAATTTGTTGCCCCTGTGAAGTCTGAAATCAGAAAGCTTTAACCAAGACAGTGTAGGAACCGGCATCCACACAGTTGGCCTCTTGTCTTCCAACAGGTTCCAAGATGCCCTGGGGCTGCAGAGCCCTCCCCCCCCCCCAACTCTGCACCCACTGGGAGCCAGTGAGCCCTTCAGTGGAAAATTCCACCGTCTTGTCTGCTTTGGGAAGGGGAGGGTGCCTGAGAGGGACAGTGACAAAGAACTCCAGTCTGAGCAAGCTCTTTTTGTGGGCTTCCGACAAATGGAATGAGAAAGAATGCAGCCTTTATAGCTAAGAGCACTTCCAGGAAACATTTCTTCCCCAGCACCTCTAGCAGGAGAGCTGGGGGCTCGTCCCCAGCAGGCAGTGACAGCTGCTGACCTTGAAGTGCTGAAGGGTAGGCTTAGTTTCTGGAGGAGTGGCAGGAGCTGGAGGTTCCTCAGGGAACACTGCTGTGCAAGGGGCCAGCTTGGGAGCCTTGTTCCCAGTATTGGGCCTGGCCTGCCCTGCCAAAACATATCTCAGGATCTTCTCAGATCTCTGGAGCACTGGTCCTTGTGGAGAGTTTTGTGATGTTAAGGTGACTTAAATTCACAGGGGGGCAACGTACGTTGTCACCCCCAGACAGTTTGTGCGAAGCAGGTCACTGCTCTCCGGCCTTGAGCATCACATCTGTAGTGAGCTGTGCTTTAGTGGACTGGATCTGTCTTGGCCCTGCCTCTCCCTGCTCAGCAGGAGTGAACTCCTCAAGTCCGTTTCTGCAGGGTTGGTGTGCAGCTCTGTGCAGAAGGGAGATGCTTGGGAGAGCAGATGTCAGCTCTGTCCATGAGAAGATTCCATGATTAGAACCACACATAGGAATAGCCACACACTGCCGGGCTCTGTGTTCAAGGCTGCCGGAGGGATACTCCCACCTCCTGGCTACCTGGTGTGCGTTGTGTGTGTTCTTCTGTGTGTGCAGAATGGGACTGAAAAGTGCTGAGATGTGTAGTGTAATTAGATTTTAGATTATTGCACTGATGTTTTCCAAAATGATTTGTCCACTTAGTGGTTCAATTACTGATTAAAATAAAAGCAGAAAATGGAAGCTAACTAACTAGAGTATTTTATTACTATTATTTTATTAGAATGTCCTCTTTGAGGCCAGTCAAGGTAGTTGCAGAGGGGTCATGGTTCTAACCCATCTGCCTTCAGTGAGCTGGACGGAGATGCGAGACTCCACATACTGAGACTTCAGTGAGCTGGACGGAGATTCCACATACTAAGACTTCAGGGTTTTGTTTGGGCCTTGTGACTCAAAGACACATAAAGCCACTGACAGCTTTGGGACCCAGAAAGTTACAGAATTAGCGGTTGTAGCAGATAGACAGGACAGTATAGCCCAACCCCTTGGTGATCACAAGAAGCATACATAGTTGTCCCGTTGTGGCGTTGTCCGAGGCTCTGAGCCTTTCTCCAGCCTCCTCCAACTCCCCTTCTCTG